ACCTGCAATATGCAGATGATACAACCTTGCTTGCTGAAAGTGAAGAGGACTTAAAACATTTACTGATAAAGATCAAAGAGCACAGCCTTCGGTATGGATTACATCTCAGAAAACAACAATCCTTACCACTGGACCAATAAACAACATTCTTATCAATGAAGAAAAGATTGAAGGACTTCATTCTTGGATCAACTATCAACACTCATGGAAGCAGCAGTCAAGAAATCAAGCCACGTATCGCATTAGGCAAATCTGCACAAGACCTTTTTAAATCTGACTTTAAATGTGTATCAAACAATGTTGTTGTTTCATGCCACCTAGTCCATTTCAGCAGTCCTCGTGTGACACTGTGGGTTAATGCGCCAGACTGCAAATCCGTTTGAACTGCAAGGTCAGCAGTTCAAGCTCACCAGCCGCTCCTTGGAAACCCTGTACAGGGTCGCTATGTGTCAGAACTGACTCAGCGGTACTTCAAAACACAACAACTGTCCATTTCAAGTCATGGCGACCTGTATAGGGTTTCTGTGGAGCAGCTAGTGAATTGCAACAGCCGGTCTTGCATTTCAAACAAAACTGCAGTCCAGTGCTTATCCTACAGCACCACACTAGGACTCCATATCAAACTTGGTGGGAGGGAGAGGGAGATCTAGCTTGCTTTGAAACTGTAGCTTTCTAAGTTAAGTCCTGGTGTGGCACTATAGGATGAGCACTGAAAAGCTAACTGCAAAATTGGCAGTTCAAACCCATCTGCTTGGAAACCCCATATAGGAGTGGGGAAACTTTTTTCTGCCAAGGGCCATTTGGATTATTATAACATAATTCATATACTGTACACATTAAAAACATTAGCCTGCTATATTTGAATGGCTGGAAGTGCACTTGCCTTGGCAGGGCCAAAGGCAATGATTTTGAGGGCCCGCGGACAGGACACTCTCTACCCCTGCCCTATAGGGTGGCTGTGAGTCACAGCCAACTTGACAGCACCTAAGATGACAGGTAGAGAGCACAATGCAACTGGCATTCTCGTCAGTTACTTATAGGTTTATAAATTAACATAAATTGCTTTTGAAAAGTAGTTTGACAATGTGTATCAAAATAAAAATTCTCTTTCACTTTGGGGATTTCATTTCACATAAAAAAACACAGCGCTGGAGAAAAATAAGCGTTTAGCCCCCAAACATGCCTCACATTATTTTAGTAGGTATTTAGCCCCCCAGTGACTGCCCGTGGGTCAATGTCCACACTCGTGGGTGTTCCATGTTGTGGTGAGACGGTTGGCCAAGGTGGCTGGGAACCACCGTAAGAGGAACTGCCTCTGGTACAGTGAGAATAGACTCTCCATGACTGGTTTTAGTTTTAGTGTTTTAATGACCGGTACATGTTCTGTGTGGCGCTGTGGGTTAATGCGCTGGACTGTGAAGTCGGTTTAAACTGCAGGGTTGGTGCATCAAACTCACCAGCTGCTCCTTGGAAACTCTACACAGGGTCACTATGGGTTGGAACCAACTCCACAGCATTTAACAACAACAACAAATGTTCATAAAGGTTGTTCTAGTGTGTAGGATAAAATTTTCAACTATGTCTAAGAAAATTTAATTTGAATGACAATAAAGAAATCAACTGTTTATTTCTCCCCAAAAGAGCTTTGAAGGCACAATTGTGTGGGAGAGCCAAGACCTGCAAGGCCTTGTGTCACGGAATCTTCACAAAGTGACAGTCAATGATGGAGGGGGAGTCCTCAGAGTCATCGCTGTAAGTCGCCCTGTATTTTGGGTCCCTTTTTTTTACTTTTATATCATTGGGAAATGCTGTCTTTGTTTAGCATCCGAATGCATGTGATGTGGTGCTGTAGGATAAGCACTGGACTGCAAGGTCAGTTTGAACTGCAAGGTTGGTGGCTCAAATTCACCAGCCGCTCCTTGGAAACCCTGTACAGGGTTGCTCAATCCATAACAACCCTGTATAGGGCTTCCTAGGAATGGCTGGTGAGTGAGCTTGAACTGACCTTGGAATTCAAACCAACTTTGCAGTCTAGTGCATTTACCCACAGCGTCACAGCCAGGACTCCTGTATTATAGACTAAAAACTCAAGTGTGAATATGATTTTGTACATTTCAACATTAGTGAATATATAACTTAAGATCAGTCCAGCTTTAAAGTTTGAGTAAGTCCCATTCTTGAAGAGTACTAATTCAGTGGTATTTCAGAGCCTCAGTGCCTCGCCTGGATAGTCAAATGTCAGTTGAAACACTATCAGCAACAACACTCGGAAGTAGATAGAGTACTTGTTCTTATTTATATCGCTGAAGTAACACTAGGGTTTCTGCCTCATATTTTCATCTATTTATATTTGCTTCAAAATCAAAATAGTTTCACAGTACATGAAAAATAAACAACTACATCTAGGGAAACACGATGAACTTTAAATAAACAAGTTTTGCATGGGGTGGTGTTATAAGCACAATTTATCATTTGCCTTGATCCTCTGGTCTAATAATTAGGAAAGCACTTGGCATTTAAATGCACAAACGTAGTGTATTTTCATTAAATATTTACCTTGCTCACATGGATGAGTTCCTGAGTTTGACATATAATTCAATAATATTTACTGCACACCTGTTGTAAACCTGGGCGGGGGTGGGGAGCAAAGTAGGCCAGTTGTTGGTGGTAAGTGGCCTTGAGTCAGTGCCCAATCCTAGCAATCCTGTATAGGATTTCCGAGGAGCGGCTGAGGAGCTTGGACTACCAATCTTGCAGTTCAGACCGACATTGCAGTCCAGCACATTAACCCACAGCGCCACACCAGGATGGTGCTGTGCTGATGAGGAGGAAAGTTACCAACCAAATGCACGGATTAATGTACAGTTACATCCTTAGCCTGTGACCATGTTAAAGTATTAGGATTTCATCCTGTAGTATGAAAAGTGCTTTATAAAAGGGAAACCTTTTTATGGAATTTAATTACGGTTTTTTGTTCGTTTCCCCTTTATTTGGTTTCTGTATTTTAGGAAATTTAATAATACCCAAAGTGTGCCTGAGTTCTTAAGTATTTGATTTGGTTGCATAGGAGGATATAAGTTTACAGCTGAACTGAGGACTAGGCTCAAATACAAAGATTCCAGTAACCTGTTGTTGTTGTTGTTGTGAAGTGCCGTCGAGTTGGTTCCAACCTATAGCAACCCTATATAGGGTTTCCGAGGAGCAGCTGGTGAATTTGAACTGCCGACCTTGCAGTTTAAATGGCTTTGCAGTAGAGCACATTAACCTACAGTGCCACCCCAGGACTTCAGTAATCTGTTAGTGCATAAATATAGTTGTAGAGGCCCAAAATAGCTTAAACACTCAGCTAATCTTTATTTTCTTTAAGTAGGTAACTTTGTCGCCTGTTCTAAGAAACCCCATGTGCAAATAAAAGTTGTCATTATACATGCATAGAGCTGAAAGTTTTCAATTCATCCTGCTCTCACCAGCAAGTGATGATGATTATAAATCTAAAAACCAAATTAAAAGCCACACTGCAGCCTTTTAGAGAGATGTTAATAAAAAAAAAAATTATAAGAAAAATATCAAGTTCTAGACAAGTAAAAAAATAGCATATACAATTAAAAGTTTAGAGTATGCAATGTTTTATAGACCGTATGATTGGAATCCAGCCTCCACCTTTATGAATTTCCTCAGCATTCAGCTACAGACGCTGTTGTAAATTAAATGATGCTTACCTCAGAAAACTGTCCGTCTACATACCATAAAACAGTGCTTTGTGCAGTACATCCCTGCTGAAAGATTAGTGAGGCATTAGCCTTGATTCCCTAAGGCTCTAGTAGAAAGACTGTTGGCCCCATGCAGCCTGCAGCATGGTAGCTGTGCCTGCTGGTGGGCAGCGCACACAGGTAGAACGTTGGGTGAGCTCTGAGTGAAGAGAGGAACAGCAGTCGTCAGGAGAGTTCTGTTTGCTCATTTCAGGAGCTTTCTCTGCATGGTAACCTAACTTAAAAATGTGTCTAGATAAATTTCAACTCATGGGAATTTTCATTCTCCAACAAATCCAATACGGTAATGATTTTTTTTTTTTAAGGGGTGGGATTGGGGGATAAAACGAGATTGGTTTTCTAGAGCCCATGATTCTGCATATGTTGGAATTGTGACCATAGTGTGTGTGTTTAGTACTGTTGTTAAGTAGCAGAGACTGAAAGTGCCCCCTGCCAGCCAGATACACTCCACCTGCAGTGCATGAATGTCGTAGTGAGTCTATTGACTGGAGGCAGATAAGGACTTTTGTTCCATCATTTAAAAAATCTGATCAAAGTGCTGTTAGTAAAGGAAGCCGCTGAGTGTCTGTCTCTGTTCTCATTCGTTCAGGCTGGGCCAGGCACATTGCCTCATGAATTCATGGAAGGTGTGGAGGGAGTTGCAGGAGGCTTTATTTACACGATTCAGGGTAAGTGTTAGTTGTAACTTGAAAAGCCGGATGAATCTCATGTGCCTTGTCTGACATCATACTTTGACATAACGATGGGGTTAAAAAAATAATAGGTTTTTTGTTTTTAAGATTCAACTCATGCCAGCCATTTCATTCACCCTTTTAAAATGTACAATTCTGTGGGTTATTCACAGCATTCTACAACCAACACCAATACCTAAGTCCAGAACACTTCCGTTGTCTCACAAAGAAGCACCCCCTCTTCAGCAGTTCCTTCCCTGACTCCCTACCTCCCGACCCCGTGGGTTTGCCTGCTGTGGGGATCCCAGTGAGTGGAACCCTGGAATCCTGCAGTGTGTCATCTACACTGACCACCTTCTTTCTCCACCAAGATGTATTCAGAGTTACTTACATGGTAGCTCCAGTCAGTCCTTCACCTTTCAGGGCTGAATAATGTCCCATTGCACAGACATATACATACCACATTATATTTATCCACTGACTAGTAGGTAAACATCTGGGTTGCTTCCACTTTGGGGCTATTTTGAATGCTGCTGCTATGAACGTTTATGAACAAGTTTTTGCGTGGACGTATGTTTTCATTTCTTTTGGATAAATACTGTCTTAGTCATCCATTACTGCTATAATATAAATACCACAAGTGAGTGGCTTTAATAAACAGAAACTTACCCTTTCACAAGTTAGGAGGCTGGAAGTCCAGATTCAAAGTGTCAGCTCTGAGGAGAGATTTGTTCTCTCTGTGGGTTCTGGGGAAAGGACTTTGTCTTCATTAAGCATCTGTAGGACCAAGATTTCTTAGAAATCTCCTGATGTCTTGGCCTAGATCTCTCCGTGGATCTAACAATCCTGTGGTGGTGCTATAGGATAAGCACGAGACTGCTGACCACATGGTGGGTGGTTCAAACCCACAAACTCTGCCTTGGAATCATACAGGGCGGCTGTGAGTCGGAACTGACTCAACAGCACTTAACAACAGGAGCTTCACAGCGCAGGGATTTTGTCCCCGGACAAAAGGCCAAGGCCAAGGCCACACTCCATTCCTGGTTCGTCCTTCTTTGTGATAGTAGCCCCCCCCTTTCTCTGTTTGCTTCTCTCTCCCTTTAGCTTTATGCAGATAAAGGATGTTGCAGGCCACATCCCTGGGAAATTCCCTTAGCTCCGCATCAGACCAGGGAGTGACAGGATAAGGGTAGTGTGGTCCACCCTATGCTCCTACTGGTTGGTCACATCTCATCCTGGGGAATTACTGTTCCGCTACCACATCTGGCCATCCCCTAACTACCTGCCTCACCACTGAGAACCTAACCTAGCAAGTTGACACACATTTTAGAGCAACGCAATTCAAATGGCAAATATCTAAAAATGGAATGCCAGGTCATATGGCAACCCTGGTTTAGCCATTTGAGGAACTACCAGACTGTTGGCCAAAGCAGCCACTCCTATTCCCACCCGAGTGCCAGGGCTCCAGTTTCTCTGTCTTTCCAATGCACGGCCCATCCTTCTTAGTGTAGCCATCCTACTGGATGTGGTGTCTCAGTGTGGTTTGGATTTGCGCTTCCCTGTTGGCTAATGATGTCACACTTTTGTGTTTATTGGCTGTAATGCCATTAATGGATCTTCCTTGAAAAAATATCTATTCCTTGGAGAAAGATCTTTATGTCCGATAAGAGTAATATAGTTTTAGCTCTTACATATATGTTTTCAATCCATTTTTAGTTATTTTTGTGTATGGTGTGAGGTAGGGATGTGACTTCACTGTGTTGTACATGGTATCAGGTGTCCCAGCAACATTGATTGAAAAGATTTTTCTTTCTCACGGAATGTTCTTGGCACACCTTTGTTAAAAATCAATTGATTATACATATACTGTGTTTCTGACAAACATGTAGAAGTATGTTTGTACCAGTATCACACCATCTTGATTACTATTCCATTGTGGTAAGTCTGGAAATCAGTCTGAATTCCCAAGTGTTTGAAGATTGTTGGGGCTATTCTGAGTTTCTTGCATCTCCATATGAATTTTAGACTCAGCTTGTCAATTCCTGTAAGGAAAGCCTGCTAGGATATTCAGAAACACTGAGGTCAGTCTGCAGTGTTAAGTCACCAGTTGATAAACACACATCAGGATGTCTTTCCTTTGATTTAGATCTTTTTTTCCATTTCTTTCAATGATGTTTCAGTAGTTTTCGTTGTTTATCTTGCACTTTTGTTAACGTTTTTTTTTTTTTTTTCTGATACTGTTGTAACTGGGATTGTGTTTCATTTTGGGTAGCTCACTGCTGGAGTCCTGGTGTGGCTCTATTGGATAAACACTGACTGAACCTACCACCCGCTTCTCATCTGTAGGGTCTCTGTGAGTTGGAGCCAACTTGAGGGCACTCAACAACAATAGAAACCCAGTTGATTTTTGTATACAGTTGACCCTCTGTATCTATGGATTCCTCATCTGTCCAATCAGGAAAAAGAAACAAAACAGGATTTAAAGTAGCCAAAGAAATCCGTCAACGGCCCAGAAGGAGTAGGAAGTGCTGTTTATGTAGGATTTGCATTGTATTCAGTATTAGGAGTAGTCTAGAGGTGATTTAAGTGTGAGGGAGGGCTGCTCTGGCTATCTACAAATCCTGTGCCATTTTAGGGAGGGACTTGAACAGAACCCCACCCACCCCGCACCAGGGTCCACTGTATTGATCTGGAGACTGAGGTGTTGCTGAATTTATTTCAGTCTGGATGCCCGGTTTTCTTTTCCTTTCCGTTCTTATCTAATTGTCCTTACCAGAGCCTCCAGGACAGTCTAAATAGAAATGGCAACAGTAGATGCCCTTGTCTTGTTTTTGATCTTAGGTGGAATGTTTAAGGTTGGAACTTTGGAAGTCTGTTTCAGCAATCTCCCTAGATGGATTGTGATGTTTTTCAAAGTTTGAGAGGCTGAAAATCATATGATTCTTTTAAAAGGTGCCAGACAGATCATCAGGTTAAAAACACACACGCATGCACATTAATTTGTACTCAGAATTTTAGATCTGTGCACCCCAAAGTGAAATGTGTAACCATCAGGCTAAAGGGCCTGCATTTCATCTCAGTTCTCCCCACACAGCTAAGACTCAGAATCAACTCATTGGCAGTACCTTGGTTTTTCCTGTGTTTTCTGATATCATTGTGCACCATTTTCCTTTTTATTTTCTTTAATGTTTTATTGTGAATTATGTGATAGTTTACATGGGAGAACATTAGTTTTACATTCATTCTATCGTATATCGTTTCATTGCCATGGTTACAATCCCCTCCATGCATCATCAACCAACCAAAGGGTATATCCTTTTTGTAAGGGTATATCCTAATTGTAAGGATCCCAGGGGTCATCATTTAGGCCTGTATTTCTCACAAGGTAGTGTGTCATCCACCTGTTCACCTGAAGTGATTGTTGAAAATGCAAATTTCTAGGCCCCACCTCTAAACCTGCAAGCCTGCCCCCCACATCCCCCCACCAAGTCATCAGTACACAGCCCCTTTCCCTCTCTGGATCTAAAGACCCCAGCTGCTCCATCGCTCCATGTCATCATCTCTGCCTCCATCTCAGGCATCGCTTCAGCTCTGGGTATGGTCCCACTCTCCACTCTTCTCCATTGATGGTCCTAGGGACCTCCACTCCTATAAAATGTCTACCTTTACATTTCCAACCTCACAATTAGCCCTGGTAACAATTATTCACTATTGTATCACAAGAGACCTACCTGCATTTCATTTCATCAGCGCTGCCTAGACAGATTGGATACTACTCAATGGAGATTCTACCTTCCTCCAGGCCCTCTGGATCTAGGTTCCCTCTTGAAAGCTTGTAAGCCAGTCACTTCTTGCCTTTGTAGCTGCCTCCGCCCCACCCCCATTTTGAATAGTCAACATCCAAGTTGCCCATCCCTGTCTACTCTGTGTATGGAGGGGGTGGGAATGATCCTTGCTGTAAAATTTGTTTCCTCTTTTGAGCTACTGCATCCATAGGTGTAGGTCAAGTTCATCAAATTGTATCAGATTACTCTTTTTTTCCTCTTCTTTCTTCTTCTGGTTGAGCTCTGATCATCCAGTCACTGAAGCCAGATAATTGGGTATTATCTGCAAGTGTGGGTGTTCTTATGCATATGCCCTCTCTTCTTATCAGCTGGACACTTCACTCTCCACTCTAGTCCTCACCATTTTCTTTTTAATGTAAATTTAAACTACTTTGCTTTTGTTTCAGGTGTTAATTTGTGTATCTTTAACTTTAAATTAAAATTGAAAAGATGGTGCAATAGAATGTGATAATTGTAAGGATCCCAGAGGTCATCATTTAGGCCTGTATTTCTCACAAGGTAGTGTGTCCTCCACCTGTTCACCTGAAGTGATTGTTGAAAATGCAGATTTCTAGGCCCCACAGCCAAACAATGCTGCAGTAAATATTCATTCCCCTGAACCATGAAACAGTTTCTCTAGGGAGATATCTAAAGCTGAACTCGCTGAGCTCTACAGTACACACAACTTGACCCTAACTTGTGGTTAAGTGCCACCAAGTCTATTCCAACTGATAGCAACTCTGTATAGGGCTTCCAAAGAGTGGCTGGTGGATTTGAACCACCGACCTTGTGGTTAGCAGTCTGGTGCTTACCCTACAGCATTTAACTAGCTGTTGCCAAATTGCTTTCCCAAAGTATCCATTTGTTCCCCCACTAGCAAAGGATGAGAGCTCCTGTTTACCCCCCTCAGAGCTCCTAAGAGCTGTTAGATGACTTTGGAAAATGACTTAGTGTGCATCTTACTAGAAGTTCAGGGTCTTATTCCGCAATTTCTCCATTTTTCCTTTTAGAAGGTGATACTCTCCTGAAAAACCTTCATTCTCGTCCTCAAAGACTTCTTGATCATATAACTAATCTCCACGAGGAAGATGCCTTACTGAGGGAGGAAAGCAGCATCTATCATGATATTGTTTTTGTGGACGTTGTCGACACATACCGGAATGTTCCTGCAAAATTATTGAACTTCTACAGATGGTAGGTTGCAAAGACGTTAACTTGTTAGAACTTGTTTTATTGCCCTTTTGATGTAGAAACACTGTATCAATTTTTAAACACGGACGTTAAAAAAAAAACAACTCAGACCTTTGAACACCCAAACACCCTTTCTCATTTAGATTAGCAAACCCCATAGCATGAAGGTTATTAGCCTGTCAAACACAAGGCAAAAGTTGACTGATTCCCTTTGTCTCATTCTTACTTCCCATGGTTGTCTCAGGTCAGCATTCGATGAAAATGTCTTTTGAAAGTGATGGTCCATTTTCAGGTCTGTTCATGGCCACCTACCTACCTAAACCCTCCAGTTGTGTAAGCTGTCTGAATTCTGCCCATTTCTACTCATCCTCCCTAACACACTGTTGGCTGAGTTGCCATTGGGTTGTCTCTGACTCAGGGAAACCCCACGTGTGCAGGGGAAAGCATAGGGGCCTCAGGGCTGTGATCAGAGCAAATCACCAGTTCGGCCTTCCAGGGTACATCTGAATGGGTTCAGACTGCCCGACCGTAGGCTATGTGACTCATCCAGGGACGCACATTTAAAACTCCTTGTCCTAATTCCAAAATGATTATGTAAGTTGGCTAACTTTTAGAGTCTGTCGTATTTATAGCTTCCCAGGCCCTTCCTCATTTGTTGGAATTTATTTGTATTTACTACCTGTTTATAATAATGACGGAGCTCTGGTAGCGCAGAGGTTATGAATCGGGCTGCTAACCTCAGGGTCATCAGTTCGAAAATTACCAGCTGTTCCACAGGAGAAAGATGAGGTGTTCTGCTCCCATAAGCCTCAGAAACCCTGTATAGGTTCGCTATGGGTCGGAACCGACTCCACAGCACACAACAACAATAATGACAGCTATTATTCTATGCAGTGGCTTCAAAAAGTTCATGGAAAAATGGAGTTGGAAGATGACAGAACTTTTCCATGAATTTTTGAAAGCCCTATATTATTAATATTGAACAGCTAATAAAAATATGTTGTTAATTAAATCAATATTTAGTTGAATTTTAAGCTGTATTTGATAGCTGTTATTGTTGGCACTGTTACCATAGGATTCTGTAATTTGCTATTGAGTCCCTGATACTGTCTCCAAGTGGTAATTTCAAACTGTAACTCTTATCTCAAAAGACCTTTGTCTTTTCCTTCTTAAAACCTTATCAGTGAGCTCCCAGGTCTGTTTCTTTTCTCCTCTGTTGCCCTGGGCAGAGTGGGAATTTATAAAGTACTTTATGGACTTGGTTCTTGGTCCTGAGAGCTAGGCATTCTAAATTAGCATATGTGAAGGTGACATCTTATAGTTGGAGCAAGTAAATACCATTTTAGAGGAGCCCTGAGGATAGAGATAAATAAGGGTTAGTAATTTGGGTGTTTCTGGAATACCAAGTTTGGACAGCTCTAATCAGAAAAAAGGAGCTCTGGTAGCGCAGTGGTTACAAGTCAGGCGCCAACCGCAAGGT